CGACCCTCCTAGGGTACCACTGAGCTACGACCCTCCTAGGGTACCACTGAGGTACGACCCTCCTAGGGTACCACTGAGCTACGACCCTCCTAGGGTACCACTGAGCTACGACCCTCCTAGGTTACCACTGAGCTACGACCCTCCTAGGATACCACTGAGATACGACCCTCCTAGGGTACTACTGAGCTACGATCCTCCTAGGGTACCACTGAGCTACGATCCTCCTAGGGTACCACTGAGCTACGACCCTCCTAGGTATCACTGAGCTCCGACCCTCCTGAGGTACCACTAAGGTACGACCCTCCTAGGGTACCACTGAGCTACGACCCTCCAAGGGTACCATTGATCTACGATCCTCCTAGAGCACCACTGAGCTACGGCCCTCCTTGGGTACCACTGAGCTACGATCCTCCTAGGGTACCACTGAGCTACGACCCTCCTAGGGTACCACTGAACTACAACCCTCCTAGGGTACCACTGAGATACGACCCTCCTAGCGTACCACTGAACTACGACCCTCCTAGGGTACCACTGAGCTACGACCCTCCTAGGGTGTCACTGAGCTACGACCCTCCTAGGGCACCACTGAGCTACGACCCTCCTAGGGTACCTCTGAGTTACGACCCTCCTAGGGTACCACTGAGCTACGGCCCTTCTAGGGTACCACTGAGCTACGACCCTCCTAGGGTACCACTGAGCTACGACCCTCCTAGGGTACCACTTAGCTACGACCCTGCTAGGGTACCACTAAGCTACGATCCTCCTAGGGTACCACTGAGCTACGACCCTCCTAGGGTACCACTGAGCTACGACTCTCCTAGTGTACCACTGAGCTACGACCCTCCAAGGGTATCACTGAGCTACGACCCTTCTAGGGTACCACTGAACTACGACCCTCCTAGGGTACCACTGATCTACGACCCTCCTAGGGTACCACTGAACTACGACCCTCCTAGGGTACCAGTGAGCTACGACCCTCCTTAGGTACCGCTGAGCTACGACCCTCCTAGGGTACCACTGAGCTACGACCCTCCTAGGGTGCCATTGATCTACGACCCTCCTAGAGCACCACTGAGCTACGACCCTCCTAGGGTACCACTGAGCTACGACCCTCCTAGGGTACCACTGAGATACGACCCTCCTAGGGTACTACTGAGCTACGACCCTCCTAGGGTACCACTGAGCTACGATCCTCCTAGGGTACCACTGAGCTACGACCCTCCTAGGGTACCACTGAACTACGACCCTCCTAGGGTACCACAGGGCTACAACCCTTCTAGCATACCACTGAGCTACGACCCTCTTAGGGTACCACTGAGCTACGACCCTCCTAGGGTACCACTGAGCTATGACCCTCCTAGGGTACCACTGAGCTACGACCCTCCTAGGGTACCACTGAGCTACGACCCTCCCAGGGTACCACTGAGCTACGACCCTCCCAGGGTACCACTGAGCTACGACCCTCCTAGGGTACCAGTGAGCTACGACCCTCCCAGGGTACCACTGAGCTACGACCCTCCCAGGGTACCACTGAGCTACGACCCTCCTAGGGTACCACTGAGCTACGACCCTCCCAGGGTACCACTGAGCTACGATCCTCCTAGGGTACCACTGAGCTACGACCCTCCTAGGGTACCACTGAACTACGACCCTCCTAGGGTACCACTGAGATACGACCCTCCTAGCGTACCACTGAGCTACGACCCTCCTAGGGTACCACTGAGCTACGACCCTTCTAGGGTATCACTGAGCTACGACCCTCCTAGGGCACCACTGAGCTACGACCCTCCTAGTGTACCTCTGAGTTACGACCCTCCTAGGGTACCACTGAGCTACGGCCCTTCTAGGGTACCACTGAGCTACGACCCTCCTAGGGTACCACTGAGCTACGACCCTCCTAGGGTACCACTTAGCTACGACCCTGCTAGGGTACCACTAAGCTACGATCCTCCTAGGGTACCACTGAGCTACGACCTTCCTAGGGTACCACTGAGCTACGACTCTCCTAGTGTACCACTGAGCTACGACCCTCCAAGGGTACCACTGAGCTACGACCCTCCTAGGGTACCACTGAACTACGACCCTTCTAGGGTACCACTGAGCTACGACCCTCCTTAGGTACCGCTGAGCTACGACCCTCCTAGGGTACCACTGAGCTACGACCCTCCTAGGGTGCCATTGATCTACGACCCTCCTAGAGCACCACTGAGCTACGACCCTCCTAGGGTACCACTGAGCTACGACCCTCCTAGGGCACCACTGAGCTACGACCCTGCTAGGGTACCACTAAGCTACGATCCTCCTAGGGTACCACTGAGCTACGACCCTCCTAGGGTACCACTGAGCTACGACCCTCCTGGTGTACCATTGAGCTACGACACTCCAAGGGTACCACTGAGCTACGACCTTCCTAGGGTACCACTGAACTACGACCCTCCTAGGGTACCACTGAGCTACGACCCTCCTTAGGTACCGCTGAGCTACGACCCTCCTAGGGTACCACTGAGCTACGACCCTCCTAGGGTGCCATTGATCTACGACCCTCCTAGAGCACCACTGAGCTACGACCCTTTTAGGGTACCACTGAGCTACGACCCTCCTAGGGTACCACTGAGATACGACCCTCGTAGGGTACTACTGAGCTACGACCCTCCTAGGGTACCACTGAGCTACGATCCTCCTAGGGTACCACTGAGCTACGACCCTCCTAGGGTACCACTGAACTACGACCCTCCTAGGGTACCACAGGGCTACAACCCTTCTAGCATACCACTGAGCTACGACCCTCCTTGGGTACCACTGAGCTACGACCCTCCTAGGGTACCACTGAGCTACGACCCTTTTAGAGTACCACTGAGCTACGACCCTCCTAGGGTACCACTGAACTACGACCCTCCTAGGGTACCACTGAGTTTCGACCCTCCTAGGGTACCACTGAGCTACGACCCTCGTTAGGTACCACTGAGCTACGACCCTCCTAGGGTACCACTGAGCTACGACCCTCGTTAGGTACCACTGAGCTACGACCCTCCTAGGGTACCACTGAGCTACGACCCTCCTAGGGTACCACTGAGCTACGACCCTCCTAGGGTACCACTGAGCTATGACCCTCCTAGGGTACCACTGAGCTACGACCCTCCTAGGGTACCACTGAGCTACGACCCTCCTAGGGTACCACTGATCTACGACCCTCCCAGGGTACCACTGAGCTACGACCCTCCCAGGGTACCACTGAGCTACGACCCTCCTAGGGTACCACTGAGCTACGACCCTCCCAGGGTACCACTGAGCTACGACCCTCCCAGGGTACCACTGAGCTACGACCCTCCTAGGGTACCACTGAGCTACGACCCTCCTAGTGTACCATTGAGCTACGACACTCCAAGGGTACCACTGAGCTACGACCTTCCTAGGGTACCACTGAACTACGACCCTCCTAGGGTACCACTGAGCTACGACCCTCCTTAGGTACCGCTGAGCTACGACCCTCCTAGGGTACCACTGAGCTACGACCCTCCTAGGGTGCCATTGATCTACGACCCTCCTAGAGCACCACTGAGCTACGACCCTTTTAGGGTACCACTGAGCTACGACCCTCCTAGGGTACCACTGAGATACGACCCTCCTATGGTACTACTGAGCTACGACCCTCCTAGGGTACCACTGAGCTACGATCCTCCTAGGGTACCACTGAGCTACGACCCTCCTAGGGTACCACTGAACTACGACCCACCTAGGGTACCACAGGGCTACAACCCTTCTAGCATACCACTGAGCTACGACCCTCCTTGGGTACCACTGAGCTACGACCCTCCTAGGGTACCACTGAGCTACGACCCTTTTAGAGTACCACTGAGCTACGACCCTCCTAGGGTACCACTGAACTACGACCCTCCTAGGGTACCACTGAGTTACGACCCTCCTAGGGTACCACTGAGCTACGACCCTCGTTAGGTACCACTGAGCTACGACCCTCCTAGGGTACCACTGAGCTACGACCCTCGTTACGTACCACTGAGCTACGACCCTCCTAGGGTACCACTGAGCTACGACCCTCCTAGGGTACCACTGAGCTACGACCCTCCTAGGGTACCACTGAGCTATGACCCTCCTAGGGTACCACTGAGCTACGACCCTCCTAGGGTACCACTGAGCTACGACCCTCCCAGGGTACCACTGAGCTACGACCCTCCCAGGGTACCACTGAGCTACGACCCTCCTAGGGTACCACTGAGCTACGACCCTCCCAGGGTACCACTGAGCTACGACCCTCCCAGGGTACCACTGAGCTACGACCCTCCTAGGGTACCACTGAGCTACGACCCTCCCAGGGTACCACTGAGCTACGACCCTTCCAGGGTACCACTGAGCTACGACCCTCCTAGGGTACCACTGAGCTACGACCCTCCCAGGGTAGCACTGAGCTACGACCCTCCTAGGGTACCACTGAGCTACGACCCTCCCAGGGTACCACTGAGCTACGACCCTTCCAGGGTACCACTGAGCTACGACCCCTCCAGGGTAGCACTGAGCTACGACCCTCCTAGGGTACCACTGAGCTACGACCCTCCCAGGGTACCACTGAGCTACGACCCTTCCAGGGTACCACTGAGCTACGACCCTCCCAGGGTAGCACTGAGCTACGACCCTCCTAGGGTACCACTGAGCTACGACCCTCCTAGGGTACCACTGAGCTACGACCCTCCTAGGGTACCACTGAGCTACGACCCTCCCAGGGTACCACTGAGCTACGACCCTCCTAGGGTACCACTGAGCTACGACCCTCCTAGGGTACCACTGAGCTACGACCCTCCTAGGGTACCACTGAGCTACGACCCTCCTAGGTTAATACTTCCAAGATTTTTTTTTACTTCTAGTAGGATAAACAATAATAGTAAAAATTGCCTTAATACACTCGGTCAGAAGGTATATTTATGTTTACAAGTGTAAATGATAACAGACACTTTTACAACTTTTGTCTGATTATGTTCCTGAAAAAATCCTACGTCACATCCAGTACAATTTAACTAAGTATTTTTTTCTTGTTATTGTGATTGATTCATCCCCAGAGTTCAATGTTTTTGTGATTAAGTGCGTGAGAAAATTTGAAGGCACTTGATGGGACAAGAAGTTAGAGGCAGGACACTAATACTCTACACCCGGAGACACTTAAAAGTGCTTCATTATTATTTTATCATGAAATGTGAGGCTCTTTCTTTTTCAAATAATTTACGTGACCAAGAGCCATAGCCCAGTAGTGAGAGTCGCGCCTCTCATTACTGAAGTCCGGGATCGAATCCCCGGACTGAACAGTAACAGCAGCTAAGGTGAAGTGTTTGTTTGCCAAAGATTAGACAAAGAATTCTGAGAGAAACGAGAAAGAAAGTTAAAATTCTTCCTTAAAAGAAAACAGGATCGGACATTCGTTATCTAATATGCTGGATCTGGAGTAAATAAATCTTAAAAGAAAAACCAATTTGTAATAACTAAATCACTCTAATGAGAGAAAAAAGTTGAAATAGCCGTTCTTCAAGAAGAGGTGATTGTTGCTGAGAGAGACAAGGGTTACGATGGTAGGTAAGGAGAGCGTTCCCGATGTGACCAACTTCTCGTGCTGGTCTGGTATGTTCCAGCATCCCAGCACTCCCTCAGCAGCAGACGTGGTGAAGGCAGTGTGTTCCTGCCTCCTGGGTGTCGTAGTCATCGTCGTCAACACTGTCTTCATTGTGGCCGTCAACGGCAGGACCCACGCTAAACACCTCTCCTTCCAGGTGAGTGCACTGTTCGTATTCTTGCAACCTGGCTTCCTATGTACTATCAAAACTTCTTTTTTGTTTTTTAATTACCTAACTGCTATATTACTGTATTTAATATTGTTTACTATAATAAAATGTTGTATGTTTAAGTTTTATGGCATACTAATATGCGTTTTTTCAAATAAGCATCAATCGTATCTAATTAATGTTTTGTGGGAGTATGGATGAAGAACAAGAAGGTAATATAGCCAAGATTTATTGTTGTCTTCAGTCACATACTCATGGCATCGGTAGCGAGTCTATGCTAGCAGACCAGAGGCCCGGGAGTCGCCCGGCCGTTGCCCAGCGTATCGTAAGTCATATGCCCATCTTGTGAGGTGTTGAACTTTAGGAGGCAAAATATACAATGATAACTAGTGCCAGTTATCATTGTGTATTCTGTAGTCCTTCAGCCAGGCTGGTTGTGTTTTGTTCTTTTGTGTTTCACTGGCGGAGCAGAGTGATTACCAGGCTCTTATACTTCACCTGTGATAACTCGTATACATCTGTAGCCCATTCTGTGGGACCTAAGGTGGATGTAGTGGACTTTGGTGCATACAGGAACCTCAGATATTGTAGGTTCCCGAATGACAGTGAGCCACTGCTATCTGGCTTGATCGTGTACTGCCAGAACTTCCCAGTCTCATGGATCACACCCGTCCTGTACAACAACGTTGTTATGGAGTCATGGGTCTTGTATCCATACGTTATGCCCCAAAGTGGAGAGCAGTACTGGTGTAGGACTACAAACCTATCACCCTCTTGAAGCTAGACAGTGACTACCGCTATTGGTTTTTATTTATCAAGGCAGAGTAGTCCATCATTAGTGTTTTGAACAATGGTGCCTTTGGAACGCTCGAACTTCTGTTGCAACTGCTGTGTCCAGTAAACCTTCTTTCCCTTTTTTTTCAGAACCCTGAAAAGTTGCATGACCAGAGCCGTGATAATGACCAGTGTAAGCTGATTGACCAGCCTATGCTGTAACCTTGTGTCATTAGTGGTGGGTCGGCTCAAAACATGAAAGTCCCTAATGGCAACCAGAGTGTTCCTGTGGCACGGTATCCCTCCTATCCTAGAAGGAAACCAACGAATTTTACCTCTGGCTAGCAGAAGTTAAATTTCTGCAGATTATGTGTTATTCCATTCGTGCTGCACATTTCGATGAAGTTGTTCGTGTTCCAGAACGTCTGCTCAACACTGACGTCGAAGGGAAAAATGAGCGTCTTCCGCATATTAATACTTCTTGGTGAGTCGCACAGGTAGTGATAACTAGACAAAGCTCACCATCTTCAGTTTAAGCATTGATGATAGTCCTTTCTATAAGGGCCATATAGTGCGAAAGTCCTGGGAAGAAGGTGATATATGTTCTCATTATGAAGCTTTCAAAGGAGGTACACAGAAGCCCTGTTGTAGTTTGTCATTTCTTCGTCAGGTTGTCGTCCAGTATATTCAGTAGTGGTAGTGTTTGTCCCGTCATCTTTAGTGAAGCGTTTTCTATAACTTCGTATTTCGTAGACGGTGTACGCTAGGACTGAACTTGGAAAGTTCATGTTCTAAGGTTATTTTAGGTCAGACTGAATCAAAAAGGAAACCATCTTGTTATTTATAATGCTCAGTAGTTGACAACACTCAGTAAAGATTTGCAGAATAGAATTTCGGCCCGGATAAGAATTTATTACATTCGACTTGCCAGTCTTTTCGCTATCGTAGTGGCCACTTGGTTTAAGGCTTCCAGCCACTAGTGAAGTTGTCCCTAGCAATACAGATGCATTTGTTATCAATCTTAGTGGTGATTAGTAAAGGTCTCACTACATCCCCAGTGACTCTCCTCATAAGTATTCAGAAGTGTTAAAGCTGTAGAGAAGCCTGACATCACTGCTTCAGTCAGTTCTTTGCAGACAAAGAGCGTGTCACATGACATTTGGCATCATTGTAGATGACAGTCCAGTAAAAGAGGAGACTCCTGGAATGACTGACGTATATTTTCTGTAAGATGACAGCAAACGCTTTAGGTTCAACTGTCTGTCCAAATTTTGTTGTACCATGAGCCATCTGTTGTAAAATGTCCCCTACTGAAGAGCATTCCACTTTGGCAGAAGTTGTCAGTAGCTGCCAACCTCTTCCACTTGGAGAGACTGTCCTTGCATGAGATGCTACATAAGCCGCAGTTCTGGACTTACTCCTGCAGCCTCCTAATGTTACATTAACATGAGTGAAAAATATATCTTTAAACATATAAGAGAAAATTTTAGAAAGGACTTAATTTTGAATGAGTTTTTGCTAATTGACCAATTTTACCTATTCGGCACGACATTATATATATATATATATATATATATATATATATATATATATATATATATATAATATATATATATATATATTATATATATATATATATATATATATATATATATATGAAATCACGGAACGTGATTTTGAATCATTAACAACTACGGCTGGCCAGGACTTGATCCTGCGTTCCCATGCCCAGCCCTGTGATTATTATAATCGATAAGAAGCGCTAAACCAAAATGCACGATAATCTTTTGGTCCAACTTGGTCCATTGTAGTTATGACTTGACAATGGTTCAGAATGGACCGAAATATCACGATACGTCTTCTCTCCTACATGTAGATTATTTGTAGAGGGAGTCGAAACTTTCCCAACAAGTCTATTAGAGAATGTGTGTACAGTAAACCTTTCATTTAAAGTCCATGTTGTGGTCTAAACACCCGACAACTAGTCAAGGACCAACAGGTAACATTTCAGCACATGGAGGATTGAGTCCCTACTACTAGCGGCTTTTAATGACCCATCAAAGTCGGTGTAATAAATCTGTTGCTGTCAAGAAGCCAAAGAGGAAGTCTGTGTCACAGGTGGGGCCGTCAGCGAGGAGAAGATAAAATAAGAGTGGAGGTAAATTCTGAGTGCCCGTTGATAGACAAGATAGTCTAATAGAATATGGTAAACTGATAATAGAACTTGATAATTCACAGAGTGGAACTGGGCGCCGCTCTGTAAGTTAGCCATGAGTGAGGCGTGTGTGCCCGATGCCAAGATGGGAGTGTTGTCTCCCAACCCCGACTTCGATGGTAAGAAGACCAGAAACCTAAACACCACTTTTTAGAGTGTAATTTGCTATGAATTAGCTCAGATCAACGTTGTTGCCAACGGTTGCAAATGTGGCTAGAGATTACAGAAAAATAGTCTGAGAATGGAGTGCTTCTACATGAAATGGGGAGGTCATGTACCGCTGACCGTGCAGCAGTGCACCATGTACCGCTGACCGTGCAGCAGTGCGTCATGTACCGCTGACCGTGCAGCAGTGCGCCATGTACCGCTGACCGTGCAGCAGTGCGCCATGTACCGCTGACCGTGCAGCAGTGCGTCATGTACCGCTGACCGTGCAGCAGGTGCGTCATGTACCGCTGACCGTGCAGCAGTGCGCCATGTACCGCTGACCGTACGCATGCGCCATGTACCGCTGACCGTGCAGCAGTGCGTCATGTACCGCTGACCGTGCAAGCAGTGCGCCATGTACCGCTGACCGTACAGCAGTGCGCCATGTACCGCTGACCGTGCAGCAGTGCGTCATGTACCGCTGACCGTGCAGCAGTGCGTCATGTACCGCTGACCGTGCAGCAGTGCGTCATGTACCGCTGACCGTGCAGTAGTGCGCCATGTACCGCTGACCGTACAGCAGTGCGCCATGTACCGCTGACCGTGCAGCAGTGCGTCATGTACCGCTGACCGTGCAGCAGTGCGCCATGTACCGCTGACCGTACAGCAGTGCGCCATGTACCGCTGACCGTGCAGCAGTGCGTCATGTACCGCTGACCGTGCAGCAGTGCGTCATGTACCGCTGACCGTGCAGCAGTGCGTCATGTACCGCTGACCGTGCAGCAGTGCGTCATGTACCGCTGACCGTGCAGCAGTGCGCCATGTACCGCTGACCGTACAGCAGTGCGCCATGTACCGCTGACCGTGCAGCAGTGCGTCATGTACCGCTGACCGTGCAGCAGTGCGCCATGTACCGCTGACCGTGCAGCAGTGCGCCATGTACCGCTGACCGTGCAGCAGTGCGCCTCCTCATTGCCCGGAACATCTACATAACCAGCGACCCATCATAAAACGATTTTTTTTTATTTTTGCTATGAGATGCGACACAACCAAAGTTCTGTGCTAAAAACTAGGGGACGAGGCGAATTAAATTTTTGATACCCTGTAAAGCACTAATAGAGTCTGAAACTACCACAAATGTCGAGGTAGACATAGATGGAATACTGATAATTGTTATGAGAATTGCATGCAATATAACTGTGCAAATGCTAGCCGAGTCTAATATATGACTTCGCACAACAGTGTCCAGGAACACTGCTGCAAACCTGATACAGTCAGAGGACTTACAACCATCAGTGTAAACTGCAATGGCATGAGAATGAGATTGGAAGTGGTTAAGGAAAAGGAAGCGAGAAGCATCTGTAGGTATTTAAGCTTTTACGCATGACAGTGGGGAAGAACGCACTTGAACTGTCAGAACCTCCCAAGGAGAAGAGAAAAGTTAAATGGTAGATGAACATATAAAGGGGCGCAATTGAAGAGAAGCCAAGAGAGTGAAGACGAAGAGAAAAGGGACGGAATTAACAAGGACGGCGATCAAATAATGGACCTCTACTGACGTCTGTTACCTGTATAGCCCTTGTGGCTCAGCGCTTCTTTTTGATAATAATAATAATAATAATAATAATAATAATAATAATAATAATAATAATAATAATAATAATAATAATAATAATAATAATAATAATGTTGCCATCCAATGAATGCAATAAAATATAGCCCGAGACGAGATGGATAACAGCGGAGCGCAGTTTAGACTCTTGTAAACAGACATAAACAGGGAGAAACTGGGAGAGCAACACCTGAAACTCACCTCGATTACCACAGAGGCCTCGAATATTTCACTGAATGA